GTGCCATCTGCAAAGCACAAGAACCAACCAAGTCTATCTACTGACCGCTGGCTATCCTTCCCCCTTTACATCTTGCTTTAGTGTTAGGATGGATTTTCAACTGCAGGCAGTTAAATGCAATTTTACATTTCTGCGAAGACTTAGTTTCAACACAGAAAATGACCAAAAGGACTGGTTCTTTTCAAGACTTTAAAAGGGAGGAAGGGAACATCTAACCAAGCTAATTAAGGGAGGGCAGGTAAGAAAAGACACAATATGATACAAGAAATGAAAAAAGGAGACAGCATTACTGTACACACAGACATCCAAAGGATAATGAGAGTACCACAGTAACTGCCCACAGGTTCAGTAACGGACGAAATGGACCCATTCCTTAGGCTACAGTATGTCAAGACTCTCACAAGAGGACATGGGTAATGCAAGTTAATCCTCTATTAAATCTATTTTTTTCCTTTACTATATGTTTTAATCTTTATTTTCATTTTACATGTGTGGGCATTTTGTCAGCATGTAGTTCCCACAGAGGCCAGAAGAAGGCATCAGATCCCCTGGAACTGGTGTTAGTGGCTGTTGGGAAATGAACCCAGGTCCTCGGTCCTCTGCAAGAACTATTGGTGCTCTTAACCCCCAGCAGTCTCTCCAGCACCCCTACCCACTTTTTGGTCTTTTGAGACAGGGTTTCTCTGTGTAGCATTGGCTGTCCTAGAGCTCACTGTAGACCAGGCTTCTCCAGCCCGTTCAAAAATATTTTTTTAATATTTATTTTATTTTATTTTTAAAAGGTTATTTTAGTGTGTGTATATTTGTGTGCAGGTGAGGTGAGAGTCCAGAAGAGGATAGTGGGTCACCTGGATCTGAAGTTACAGGCAGGTGGGCTGCAAGCCAAGCTTGGGTGTACTCTCTGGTACGCGAGCTCTCTCTCTCTCTCTCTCTCTCTCTCTCTCTCTCTCTCTCTTTCTCTCTCTCGTTTTTTGTTTGTTTGTTTTTTATTGTTGTTTTTTTTTGAGACAGGGTTTCTCTGTGTAAAAGCTCTGGCTGTCCTGGAGCACCTTTATAGTCCAGGCTGGCCTGGAACTCACAGAGGTCTGTCTGCGTCTGCTTCCCAAGTGCTGGGATTAAAGGTGTGCGCCACCATCACCACCTGGCATCACACTTGGGCTCTCTACCATTGAGCTACCTCTCCAGCTTTAACTGATTTTTTTGACATCATTTTTAACTTTGGGGTAAAGTGCTCAGGGGTAAAATGTTTACCTGTTGTGTGGAAGACCTTGGGTTAAGTCCCCCCCAATATCCCAGAAATGTTATTTATAGAGAGTAAAAATGCTAAAAATGGCACAGCTTTGAAAGAAAGGGAAGCATATGAGGAAAGAGGTTAGTTTTTACTTTATTTTGTACTTTTGTGTGTGTGAGCACACACATCTTGGTGCAAATCTGAGGTCATAGGATAACTCTCCTGCTGTGTGGGTTCCAAGACTCAACCTCAGACGTAAGTCAAGTGCCTTTGCTTGCTGATCCATCTCAACAGCCTATAAAGGAAGGTTTTGGACAGAAATCCTTTCTTTTTATGATTTGTTTATCTTCATGTGTGTTGGTATTTTGCATGCATGTCTGTGTGAGATGTTGGATCCCCTGGAACTGGAGTTACAAGCAATTGTAAGCTGTCCTGTGGTTGCTTGGAATTGAACCCAAGTCCTCTAGAAAAGTACAGCCAGTGCTCTTAACCACTGAGCCATCTCTCATGCCCCAGAAAACCCTTTCTTAATGGATTGAAGAGTGCCCAAAATAATAATAGCAAGGGCATATTAGATTATTAAAGCTCACAGATTAGATAGCAATATTACAAGGAACAGGAGTGAGAAATAGGGACTCGGAAGTCCTAACCCTAAGGTTAGGTTTTGTATTTTTTGTGTGTGTTTGAGGCAGGGTCTGACAGGCTTGTCTAAAACTCACCATCCTGCTTCAGTCTCTGGCGTGGTGACATTACTTATGTGTGGTATTGGCCTTGCCTGTGATGTAGAATGTTACCCAAATATATGGTCTTGGGTTAGTTGTCAGTGTATATTGAAAACTCTGGAGCTGGGTGTTGGTGGCACACACCTTTAATCCCAGCACTCAGGAGGCAGAGGCAAGCAGATCTCTGTGAATTCAAGGCCAGTCTGGTTTACAAATTGAGTTCTAGGACAGCCAGAGATAAATAGCGAAACCCTGTCTTGAAAAAACAAGATAGATAGATAGATAGATAGATAGATAGATAGATAGATACATACATACATACATACATACATACATACATACATACATACCTATTTTTAAAAGAAGCTGGGGGCTGTAGAGGTGGCTTTGGGCTTAAGAGTACTTGTTCCTTTTGCAGAGAACCCGAGTTCGAGTACCAGCACCCGAATGGTGGTTCACAACCATCTGTAAATCCAGTTTCCGGGGATCTGATGCCCTGTTCTAACTCCTTGGGCACCAAGCTTGCATGTGGTGTACAGACATATATGCAGGCAAGACATGGGAAATAAAATGAATAAATCTTAGTTTAAAACTTTTTAAGATTTGTTTATTTTTTCATTATGTATACAGTGTTCTGTCTGCATGTATCCCTGTGGGCCAGAAGAGGGCACCAGATCTCATTACAGATGGTTGTGAGCCACCATGTGGTTGCTGGGAATTGAACGCAGGACCTCTGGAAGAGCAGTCAGGGCTCTTATAACCTCTGAGCCATCTCTCCAGCCCCCAAGCTTAAAACTTTTAAATTAAAAGTTTTTTGTAAAGGAAGGAAGCTATTGAGAAGACAAAGCAATTACTAGAAAAAAATATCCTTTTTTATATCTACTAAGTGATTAAATGAGTAGTACCCAAACATATAAAGCAACATCTCTCCCCTTTATTTTGCTGTTTTGAGATAGTGTCATGTAGTCCAGGGTGTTCTGGAACTGGTACTTGTGGTTCTCCTCCACCACCTTCTGAGTCCTGGGATACAGGCATACTCCATCATGCCTGTTTTATGTAGTGCTGGGGGCTGAACCCAGGATTCCATACTGCAGGTATTCTACAGACTGGGCTGCACTCCTGAGCCCCAAAGCACTCTTCCCTTTTAAACATTTGTGTGGGTGGGTAGGTGTGTACCTTACAGCATGTGTGTGGAGGTCAGTGGGGTTCTCTCCTGTGTGCGTCCTGGGGATTAAGGCTTGGTAGTATGTGCCTTTCCCCACAGAGCCATCTTGGTGGTCCCCAAAGCACTCTTACATCGTGACAGTAAGATGACAGGTGTTGAAATAGATGAAGACTGCCAAGGTATGAAGAGGCTGTTGCTCAGAGCCTACCCTCTGCACAGCGGGTCCTTGCACTTGACAGAGACTCAAAGGCAAATGGAGAGGAGAAAGCTTCAGGTGATGCTGGGGAGGTTGGTTAGCAGGGAGCCAGCTCCAGGACCAGAGAGGGGAGCATGTTTGGCTCTCTGGTTGGTCCTAAGTTGGAAGCAGGACAAACCTTAGAGAAGCTCTCAGTTATTGATCAGGTCCTTGTGCTTGGGACCAATTGTTCCAGAGGTTAATATTTAGCTTACCAGGAGTCCCTAGAGATAACATCTGGCTTCCTGCAAGTCTGCCCATGAAAGCTGCCCTCCTTGCCTGGTTTCTACAGATAAGGGGATTGCCTTCCTGTGCCACTGTGAGTGGGGTCAAAGTTCCATTTTTATAAATGGTTGTCTGAACCTTGTCCATTTGGTTGATCACGTCCTCACAAGCAACCTAATTTAAAGTCTAAAGTACTTGAATAGATATTTCAGAAAGAAAATGAAAATAAAAAATGAATGAATGGGTAAAAAAGCACCTAAATGGTTGGGCGTTGGTGGCGCACACCTTTAATCCCAGCACCTGGGAGGCAGAGGCAGGCGGATCTCTGTGAGTTCAAGGCCAGCCTGGTCTTGAAACTCTGTCTCAAAAAACCAAAAAAAAAAAAAAAAAAATAGCACCTAAATGCTATTAGTGAAGCAAAACAGTCAAAATTCATTACCATACCACACACATGCATGCACCACACACCATTACTATCCACACATACACACCACACACATACACACAACTCTCAAAGTTGTCTGTTGACCCCCCAGGTGCACTGTAGCCCATGTACCCACCCAGCCATCATACGCACATGCCATGCATACACACAGTATGCACAATAAAAAGACCCAGAAATCTCTATACCTAGAAGTTTTTGTTTTTGAAGCAGATGCTAAAGTAGCCCAGACTGGTCTCTGACTCTGTGTAGCCAAGGTGACCCTGAACTCCTGATGGAAGATGTTATTCTGTGTATGTTTCTCTTATTGGTTGATGAATAAAACACTGATTGGCCAGGCAGGTAGATAGGTGGGGCTAGGAGAGGAGGAGGATTCTGGGAAAGGTAGGCAGAGTGAGCCCACCAGACAGATTGTGATGTTGTGATGCTGGTCAGTACCGGGTAAGCCACAGCCTTGTGGCAATGTGTAGATTGATAGAAACGGGTTAACAATTAAGACAGAGCTAGCCAATAAGAAGCCCTAGTCATCGGCTAACAGTTTCACAATTAATATAAGTCTTGTGTGTTCATTTGGGGCTCAAAGGCCACAGGACCTGCCATGCCAGAAAACTCATCCTTACAGAGGCCCAGTGCTGAGATTATAGGTATGTGTCATTGTGGCTTGCTAGACTTTTTTCTTCTTTTTTTGAGGTACAGTCTACTATTTATAGCTCAGGCTGGCCTAGAACTCATGGTAATCCACCTGCCTCTGTTTTCTGAATAAGGATATTGCAGGTATGCATCCTCACACTCAGGTTACCTTTAGAATTCAACCCAAGCTGGATGGTGGTGGCACATGTCTTTAATCCCAGCACTCAGGAGGCAGAGGCAGGTGGATCTCTGTGAGTTCGAGACCAGCCTGGTCTACAAGAGTGAGTTTCAGGACAGTCTCCAAAGCTACAGAGAAACCCTGTCTCAAAAAACCAAAAACAAAAAGCAACCCAAGAGCAATAGAAGATCTACTCAAAGACATAGACATGGATGGTTATACCATCATTAGTTATAATAACCAAAAAAGAAAACAATCCACTTTATGAGCTAGCTGATGGACATGTAAGCACACCATGGTGTGACCCTATGATGAAGTGCTTGAGGTTTGAAATGACCCCAGGAAGCACTGAACGCATTGAATTCCAAGACTTTCTGACTGCATTCCACAGCTTGCTAGCTGGACCCTGTGAAGCTGGAGACAGGCTGGAAGTCTCCTCCAGCTCCAGCTGCAGGCTGATGCTCTCTACCCTGGCCCTCAGATTGGACCCTCCCCAGTAGTGGCTTTGAGGAGTGTCACAGTGGACTTCTTCCTCCCATGCTGCAGCCCATTGCTTCTCACAGTCCAGGTTATTGTCCTTTCTCTCTGGAGCCTGCCCCGGATCCAGCTCCCTCCTTGGTCTTAATCTGGGCTGATGCCTGCTTTCCACAGTTTGACTCAGATAATGCTGGCTTTACGTTAAGGGGAGACGCCAGGGTTTCCGGTATGCCAGTTACAGCGCATTGGTTGTAAACTACTGAACACTGACTTCTCTGGTGGTGCAGTGTGGTCCAGTCTGAGCTGTGGGAAGGAAGCCCTAGGCCCAAGAGGGGCTCATTCAGGTTTGGAGTGCTGTGGTTTGCTGTGTGTTCCCTCAAAGTCTCCAGGGGGTGGGGCCTTTGTGAACCTGGGTCTTGTGAGAGGATTCTGAGTCATTTGATGTGTCCCCACTGGTGATTGTGGTGACACCGGTCCTTTCATCTTGGCCTCTGTTCCCTGGCTGATGAGATGAGTGGTTTTGCCTCACCGTATGTTCTGATCATGATGTCTTGCCTCACTGCAGGCTGGAAAGCAGAGACAAGACGTGAGCTAGAACCTCGAAAACCATGGAGGAAAAGTAAACCCTTTTTAGTTACCTCAGACATTTTGTCACATTAACCAGAAGCTCACCCTCACACACTCCACTGTTTCTCAGTATGGGGGATTTGCTTTTGTTTTTAGACAGGATCATGCTAGGTAGTTGAGGCTGGCCTGAAACTCAAGTCTTCCCATCTCAGCCTGCTAAGTGCACAGGAAGGCACTTCCAGGCCTGTTCTTCAGTTCTCTGTCTCCTCTCACATAGCCCGTCCTGGGAATGGACAGGGTACAAGCTGGCTTCCAGAGTTCTTGCAGATTCCACAGGGCCCATCACGTCATCCTTCCTCTCCACCCACGAAACAAGACGCTGCAAATGCTGCTCTCATCAGGGACTTTGGCAATCACTCGGCCAGCACCAGGGGAGGAAGGACTCTGATTGGCTAATGCTAATGTGGGGGTGTGTCTACCCAGGAGCTGAATGACATCATTTCCACCCAGATTTCATGAGTGCTGTCTTGTGGGCTCCAAGAGAAGCAGTGGTGGGGTTACAAGTTGCATGGTCTCTCTGCAGACCACCAGGTTACCTGGGATCATAGGCTTGACAGGCCCTCACTGACCTTAGACACATGGTCTATGCTGCCTCTTCCTCGGGTTTTTTGCATGTGGAAGGGGTTCACAGCCCAGCATTTCCTCCAGATGCCCCAGTCCTGCAGGTGTGAGTGCGTGGACTGTTCTGTAAGACCCCTGGAAGCTCAGGCCTCCAGGATCTCAGCCCAGCAGCCACCCCAATCACCAAGCAGAGTCAAAAGCTTGAATTCAAACTGCATGAGGCTTTATTATAGTTGTTTAATGAGCTAACCCCATGTTATCTCAGGCCTTTCATCCATCCACTATGGCAGATGGCTAGAAAAGACAGCTCGAAGCGTCAGCATAGAGATCTTATTGGGCAGCGTAAGGGGAGTGTCTAGGGGTACACACAGGCTCAGGATTGGTGTGGCTCCAGGCTTGGAGGACTTGCCCTGTGTTGATTGGTCAATCGGTTGTTATGTCCCATAGGCCCTCCCAGTGTGGTTGCTATGCTCTGTGCGTCATTGCTGTGCACTTGGCCGTAAAGCACACCCGTAAAGCATAGCGCCACCAGCTAACTTCTGATTGGTTCCTTGCCACGAGGCAGGCGTCTGACCTCTTAGTGACTAAAGCAAGGTCAGACAAGCACGTGTTGGCTGTTATGGCTGCCGAAATGGGGAGCTGGTCCCTTCAGTTCCAGTTCACAGGAGGCAACGACAAGAATCCTGGCTGCTCAGCCTCACGCAGAAGTGCCCTCCTAGTGAGGGTCACCCCGCTGCTGCTGGAGATTGTGAGTTCTGTCAGTTTCGTGATAATTCAAAAAAGGCATGGAATCCAGAGGTGGTGAAGATGTGAGGGTCAGGCCTAAAGTCGCATAGCCATTCTTGTGCCTCACCATGAGTAGAGGGCTCTGTGGCTGTCCTGGTCCGCCTCGGATGTCCTGAAATGGACTAGCCTCACTTGAAGAGTCTGAACTTTGTCATTTCATTTTGGAATGTCCCTCAAACCCATGTTAAAAGCTCAGTAGCCATTATTGGGAGATGGAACTTTAAAAGGTGGGACCTGGGAACAAGAAATATGACTCATTTGCCTAGTGTGCATAGAGCTCTGGTTCAGTCCCCAGCCCAAAGGAACCGGACATAGTGGTACACACCTGTAATCCCAGAACTTTAGGGTGGCAAGAGAATCAGATATTCGGGGCCACCCTCAACTACATGGTGAATTTGAGTCTAGCCTGGCTACATGAAACCTTGTCTCAAATAAAATATATGGGGCTAGTGGGAGGAAGTTAGGCCATTGAGGGTATCTCTTTGAAGTGATAGAGTTGGATGCTCTGTCTTTTGTCTCCTTCCAGCTGCCATGAGGCAAATAGTTTCCTCCACCACGGAATAGCACCAGGATGTGCTGTGTCCACAGGCTCAAAGCCGATCATCACGGTGGGTGAGGGTTGTGTTCTTAGATGGAGAGGTGGTGTCTGACGCAGGACCAAACCATTTGTTAGTCCCCACTGGGGTTTTCAGATGCCTAAGGAAGGACAGGCAATGATCCTGTCTCCCAGGAAGGAGGAGCTGCCGAGGCTGTAGCTGGCCTTTCAAGCTCTGAAGAAAAGCCAGATAAAGAGGGATGGCTGTAACAGAGGACAAAGCTGTCCCAGCACCAAGAGACCAAGGCAGGAGGGGTGTGTGTGCCTCTGTGTGAGCCTGTGTGCGAGCACATCTGTGTGCATACATGCACTTGTGTGCTTATGAATATGGAAGCCAGAGGCATCTTTTTCAATTGCTCTCCACCTTATTTATTTATTTATTATTTGGTTTTGTTTTGTTTTTCAAGACACGGTTTCTCTGTGTAGCCCTGGCTGCACTGGAACTTGCACTGTAGACCAGGCTGGTCTCGAACTCACAGAGTTCCGGCTGCCTCTGCCTCCCGAGTGCTGGGATTAAAGGCGTGCGTCACCTGCTCAGCTTCTATCCTATCATTACAGTCTTCTCAGTTTATGTATGTGTGTGCCTGCTTATCTACGTGTGTACCGCATGTGCGTGCAGGTGCCCACAAAGGCAGATAGGACATCGGGAGAGGGGAATTAAGTGGAGAGATGGCTCAGTGGTTAGGAGAATCTGCAGCTCTTGGAGAGCCTAGGCTCAGTTCCCAGCACCCTCGGGAACTGGTGATTCGTGGCTGACTCTGATTCCAGTCCCAGGGATCCAGGGGCCTCTCCTGGCTTCCATGTCCCCAGACATGCAGAGGTGGTATACATTCATACACGCAGGTAAAACACTTACACATAAAATAAATAAGGCTAGCCGAGTGGTGGTGGCACCCACCTTTAATTATAGCACTTGGGAGTCAGAGGCAGGAGGATTTCTGTGAGTTTGAGGCTAGCCTGGTCTACAGAGCTAATTCCAGGACAGTCAGGACTACACAAAGAAACCCTGCATGAAAAACCAAATAAATAAATAAATCTAAAGATGAAATAGTGTGTGGTATTACACCTGTAACCTCAAAGTTCAAGATAATCCTTGACTACATACTAAGCTTAAGGTTGGCTTGGGACCCTGTCTCAAAAACAATGGAACAGCAACAAACCCCAGATAATCATTTGACCTTACATACCAAACCCATGCCGCTTGTTACTAAGGTTTGTGACGGCTGAAAATCAAGTGGTGAGTGTCAGTTTTGTTCTTAAAGAGCATGTCACCTACTCTGTTTTATCATTACTTAAGTCTTAAAGTCAGCTTGCCAATTCCTGTAGGGTTTTTCTGGAAAAATTAGTTACATTATTGTGTTTTAGCACAGACAGCATGAGAAAGAAATTCTGTTCTGTGCCAGTGGTCAGTTAGTGCCATTAACTGAGCGCACTGCGAATGAGCCAGGTGCGATGGTGTCTGCCTGAAGTCCCAGCTACGTGGGAAGCTGAGGCAGTAGGATCATTTGAGGACAAGAGTTTGAGACCAATCTCGGTGGCCCAGTGGGACCTCTAGAGAATGGAAGAGAGAAGAGGAAGAGAGGAGAGGAGAAAGGGAGAACGGGGGGGGGAGTTGGGGGGTGGGGTTGGGGACGGGACAGGGACAACACACCACCAAGCACAAGCTCTGTATGTTGTCCTTGGCTAGAGGGCTTTCTCACTCCATTCATGGTTTCCACCGCTGTGGAATAGCTGTAATGTCTCCCTTTCTAGCTGACGTGTCTCTGATGTGCATCTTGGCATTTGTGTCTAGAGGCAGTGGGTTTAACTCTGGCCCCACAACCGTTGTGTAAGAGCTGTGCCTGTGCTAACCCTGTTGCATCCCACCACGGCCACCACCAAATGTCATTGAATCCCATCATCCTTCTCTTAGAACTCCGCAACCATTTCCTGTTAAACTCGATTGAAGTGCCCTTCTCCCCTCCTGGCCTTCCATGGCCTCTGTGTAATTCCACGGGTCAGGATCGCCCCTGCCTCGGACCTTTGCATTTGCTCCTCTCTCCGCAAAGGTCTTCCTCTTGACCTCTTCTTATGGGCTCTGTTCTTCTGACCCTCAGTACTGCCACAGTCCCTTGACCTCCTGCTCTGCTCTTTGCTGTGTGCCTCAGAGGATCCAATTTCCCTTTCTGCAAAGATGCATACAATTTTAATTGTCACAGCCAGCACGGAGTGGGTGAATGTCAGGGACACTCCCGGATCATCACCTCACCGTCTGCATCTCCATCTGCTCCCTGTACTCCATATAGGGAATAAGAGGCTTAAAGTCAGGAAATGGCGTGTACAGCTGTGGGAGTGACAGATTAGGGGACAGCTGAAGGTGTGTCTGTCCAAAGGCTGCTAACTCTGCGGAAGTCTGCTTCTCAGTTCAAGCCCTAGGACAGGAAAGGCCCAGGGGCAGCGTTAACCTTGTCTCAGACTTTGGTTCCCTTTGGGCCTTCAGACAGTGTTGAAGCCTCCCTCCACCACGTTATGCAATGCTACAGTGTGAATGTTTGTACCTCCTAAGTGTATGAGTTCAAGTCCTGACCCCCGAGGTGATGGTATTAGGAGATGGGAACTTTGGCAAGGTGATCAGGATCATGGGCTGGAGCTGCATGAATGGGACCAGTGCTCCTAAGAGGAACTTGAGGAGGGGACGGGGCTGGAGAGATGGCTTAGCGGTTAAGAACACTGACTGCTCTTCCAGAGGACCTGGGTGCCATGCACCCACATGGCAGCTCACAACTGTAACTCTAAGATCTGACACCTTCACATAGACATATATGCAGGCAAAATACCAAATGCACATAAAATAAGAATAAATTAAAAAGAAAATCTTGAAGGAGCCTACTCACCCTCTGGGCCATGCGTGGGCACACAGTAGGTGCTGTCTGTGAGGAACCCTGTCTACCAGGTCTTCCATCTTGGACTTCAGCCTCTGGAAGTATGAGAAATCAATTTTGTTTATAAGCTGCCCTTCCAGTCCCGCCCTGCCCCAAATCTGCAGTGTTTGATAGAGCAGCCCGGACAGACAATACAAGTAGTTGGTGGTTTAAGCACCAACTCATTCCGAAGTACCTCATAGGCACCCCATGTCACCTCATAGCACGGTGACATGTTAAAATATCCCTCAGAGGATCCTACAAAAGCCACAACAGAATTCTCCAGTCCCCATTTCAGCAGTGTTGAGACAGGAAGTTCTGATCTAGGGATGGGGTAGGATTTATCTGCATTCAAAGGTGTGTCCAGGATAAGTTCTGTGAGAGGGCATTTGTTTGCTTTATTTTTATGATGGTAGGGATCAAACCCAGTGCCTGAAAGCAGGCAAGAGCCCTACTATTGACCTGCATCCCAAGCTTCCTCCATGTCCTGTTTTAATAGGTATTGCCAAGTTGTCTCCCAGAAAGATTGCCCCCAATGAACTTTTTTTTTTTTTTTAACTGTCTAGGGAGCTGGGCATGGTGGCCCATGACTCGTAATTCCAGCACTTGAGAAGCAGAGGCAAGAGGATTGCTGACATCTCCAGGCTGGCCAGGGCTACTCAACAGGATCCTGTCTCTAACAATGTAAAACAAAGTAACAGCGCTCCAGAGGGTGCAGTTTCTTTGTCTCTCCACAGGATGGTTTATGTTGGTCAACTTGACCGGATCTAGAGTCACATTGGTGACAGCTCTGGGGGTGCCTGTGAGGGGTGATCTGCTTAGGTTAACTGAGGCAAAGGGGGCCAAGAGCCAGCATTCGATACTCTCTGCTTCCCAACTACCTGTGCAGTCTGGTCTCGAGCTCCTACTGGAGTGCAATCCTCAGACTGTACTAAATAAACCTTTCCTCCCCAACTTGCCTTTTGTTGGGTATTTGGTCACAGGAAGGTGAGATGTTACTAATACCCATTGTGAACTGTTTGTGCTTTGTTTTTCTTATCAGAGAGATACATAATCCAGTCTTCAATCAGCAAATGCCAAAACTGTGTCTCACCCTAGAGTGAGTTGATACTTGTGTTTGCTGTTGAGGCAGGGTGTTCTGTAGTCCAGGGTGTCTTGAGTTGGCTATTGGCTGGGGCTAGCCTGCCTCCACCTCCCAGAGTTGAGATTGCAGGCCTGCATCACCATGCCAGACTGGGTGAGCCGTCTCCTTCCTAAAGAGTTGTGTGATGCAGTTTGCTGAGTGCTGACATGAAATCACTGAGTCATCAGTGCTCATTGGAAGTGGCTTGCTGGCGCTATGTGTTGGGAGACGTTGACGATGTTCCCTGAGTTGTTTGGTGGGACAGTGGAAGGGATATCTTTTCCCTGAAGTGGGGTCTCTCCAGGTCCCAGACATCCTCAGAAGTCCCCTGGATAGGGAAGTCCCTCATGAGCAGCCCTAGGCCTGGCCACCTCCTCCCTTCCCTCTCTACTGCCTCACCTTTAGCTTGCATGTTTGAGGGCTTAGTTTCTCTTCTGGGTCTTGCAGAAGGAGCATCTTTCTGGAGCCAGATGTGGCTGGGTGATGTTGGCTTGATTCTGATCTCTGGGTAGCCTTGCCTCCTTGTCCCCTTAAGGCCCAGCCTGAAAGCATTCCATAGCCCCCTGTCATTTGCTTTAAAACGACTCCTATCTGTCCCCTCTAGGGAGCCTGGGGTTGTGCTGTCACCTACTATTCCTCTACACACGCAGCTGCTCTCACTCGTCTGCAGTCTCTCTGAGGTACGGAGGGGTGTAGCTGCTGCTGGCCAAGTCTGCCTGCCCTGCTGCATACTTCTGCTCTTTGTCACTCCTCCCACAGCACTTGCATAACCCAGTGACTCAGGGAATTTCCAGTCTTCTGAGATAGTAGTCACTGTTCCCATCGATTGTCCCAAAGGCTGGCCTCCTTCCTCACCCACATGCCTGCCTCCTGAGCTCCTCCCTGGGTAGGTATCTTGTGCTTCCTGCCCTCTTCACTTCCTGTCCCCTGAGGAAGAGAGAGGTGTCAGGTCCCTTTAGCCAAGCCAAGGGATATGCCTGGTGTTTCAGGATCACCCCCGGGGCTTGACCCCACCCAGCCCATGCTGCTGCTGTACACGTTTGCAGCTTTCCAGAGGACCAGGGTTTGAGTCCCAACGTCCAAGTTGGGTAGCTCACAACTGCTTTTAATTCCAGTTCCAGGGGAGCCAACCTCGTTTTCTGGTTTCCATGGGCACATGCACACACAAAGAAAAATAGAATATTTTTAAAAAGATCTCTGACTCTGACTCTCAGAGTCTCATTCTTTAGTAGACTTCTACCTGCCTGTCTCCTGCTGGTCTTGCCAAATAGTGCTCTTACCTACTGGATTCCTTGTGTCCTGGTGTCGTTTTCTGCTTGTTGAGGCACAAGCACTGTTTTCAATGTTCCACTAACAGCTCTATTCAGGACTGAAGGACCACGTGGACCTGTTCATCCGTCCTCTGTACATTGTACACATTAGTGTCACATGTGTTCAGGCATTCACACCCCAAAGTGAGAGAGTAGTTCCATGCATCCTTGCATCCTCCCTCCCATCCATCCATCCAGGCACTGTCTGCCATCCACCCATCAGCCCATTGTAATTTAAGAAAAGTGTCACTAGAGAAAAAGACATGGGAGAGGGTTCAAGCAGAGTTGTTTTTTTTTTTTTAAATAGGGAAAGGGATCATAAAAAAGGGGGAAAAGGAGGGGACAAACTGGCCTCCAGAGACAAGAGCAGCAGGAGAGAGGAGAAAGGAAAGGGGAAGAGAGAGGGAGGGGGAACAGACAGAGGGAGAGAAAAGGATGGGAGGTAAGCAGGGCCCTTTTGTTTTATTTTATTTTATTTTGATTTTTTGAGACAGGGTTTCTCTGTAACTTTGGAGGCTGTCCTGGAACTAGCTCTTGTAGACCAGGCTGGTCTCGAACTCACAGAGATCTGACTTTCTCTGCCTCTTGAGTGCTGGGATTAAAGGCATGTGCCACCACTGCCTGGCTGCAGGGCCCTTTTAAAAGGGAACATAGTGAATATGCACATGTGGTGCTCTTAGTGGCTGCAGCTGAGGGCGTATCCTGTCAGAACCCCAAGGACAGGCCAGTACAGATGCCTAAAAACTAACACCCAGCCCCTTGTTCATTGTGTAGTAGTTTGTGGTGCTGGGGATGGGACCCAGGGCTTTGTGGAAGGACCCTACCACTGAGTTACATTTGAGAAGTAAAACATTAGAAACCAGGTATCCTGTGTACCTGTTACCCCCCACATTGTGAATTCAGGATTTATCAGTGGTCCCATGTGGCCCTAGGTTCTTCCTGGCTGTATGTCCACAAACATCGTGATCATTTGCTCGATTAGTCAAGTATGAGTAAGATCAGCGAGTATTCCCTAGTGTTTTCTCTTATGTTCTGTGATTCTTCATTTATAAGTATCAAGTCCATACATTTTAACTGATGGTTGTATTGTGTTTGATGACATCATTGTAATCTTCTATTTCTTCTATTGATTAACTTTTAATCTTTTGTGTGCGTGATATGTGTGCATGCATGTGTGTGAGTGTGGGTGTGGGCATATGCGTGTCATAGCGTGTGTGGGGAAGTCATAGGACCACCTCAGGTATGAGTGTTTGCTTTCCTCCTGGTTTGAGACAGGATCACTTGTTGGCGGCTGTGTGTTCCAGGCTAGCTGGCTCTGGAGCTTCTGGGGATTCTCCTGCCTCCAGCTCCCATCTGGCCCAATGATGAAGTTCAAGAAGTTCAATGAAAGACCTTGTTTTAATAAAAGGTAGAAAACGCTAGAGGAAACTAGTTGATGCCTGTATCTGGTCTCCACAGTTGATGCCTGTATCTGGTCTCCACAGCTGTTTGTATAAGGAACTACCCAGACATGCATGAGCAGGGGTGTGGGGAGGGGGCACAGACCCAGAGACAGCGAAGGGGCCTTAAGTTTTGCATGGGAATTCTCTTCTATTTTACTTTCCAGTTGACAAGATACCCTCATGAAATGCAGCTTAGAGGCCTTGTGGTGGTGGTGCACACATTTAATCCCAGCACTGGGGAGACAAGGCAGGTGGGTCTCTGTGAGTTCAAGGCCAGCCTGGTCTACAAGAGCTAGTTCCAGGACAGGCTCCAAAGCAACACAGAGAAACCCTGTCTGAAAACAAAACAAAACAAAAACAAAAACAAAAACAGCATCTTAGGGATCTTAGGGGGAGAAATGGATGATTATTTTAGTTCACAATCCCAGATATAATCTATCACTGAGGGGAAATCAAGGAAGGCAGTCATACTAGTTCTATCATACCATAGTCAAGAGTCACACTAGTCCCATCATACCATAGTCAAGAGTCACACTAGCCCCATCATAGTCAAGACTCACACTAGTCCCATCATATCATAGTCAAGAGTCACACTAGTCCCATCATACCATAGTCAAGAGTCACACTAGTCCCAACATATCATAGTCAAGAGTCACACTAGCCCCATCATCATAGTCAAGAGTCACACTAGTCCCATCATATCATAGTCAAGAGTCACACTAGCCCCATCATATCATAGACAAGACTCACACTAGTCCCATCATTATAGTCAAGAGTCACACTAGTCCCATCATAGTCAAGAGTCACACTAGTCCCATCATCATAGTCAAGACTCACACTAGTCCCATCATCATAGTCAAGAGTCACACTAGTCCCATCATATTATAGTCAAGAGTTACACTAGTCCCATCATAGTCAAGAGTTACACTAGCCCCATCATCATAGTCAAGAGTCACACTAGCCCCATCATCATAGTCAAGAGTCACACTAGTCCCATCATAGTCAAGATTTACACTAGACCCATCATCATAGTCAAGAGTCACACTAGCCCCATCATAGTCAAGAGCAGAGAGAATGAATGCACACGTGTTCTTGCTCAATTAGCTTTTTCCACTCTTTCACAGTCCAGGGCCCAACCTCAGGAAATGGTGTGGCTCACAGTAGGCAGGGCCTTCCCACACCAATTAAAGTCAAGACAATCTCCACCAACATGCCTACAGGCCAACCTGATCTAGACAATCCCTCATTCAGATTTCCTTTCCATTAGATTGTGTCAAGCTGATGAACCATCACAGTTCTCATGGAGTCAGCCATGGGTTGGGGATGGGCTCCGGTGGCCCTGCAGAACCATTAACTATGGGTGGATTCTGGGAGCAGGGAGTCATTGTTCTAGGTTGCATACCACTGGTGAGTCCACCAGCCTTCAGTAGGTAGTTCCGAACATGTCACACAAACAACCCTGGTTAAACTAGTCACAAAAGAAACAGACATAGATGTGGACAAAGGATTTGGAGGGAGGAGAGGGACGGGGGTGGGAGGGATGGACATTAGAGAGACAAAAAGCAACCATAATGCATTATATACATGTATGAGAAGTCAAATAATACATTTAATTAATAAAAAAGTAAGTTTTCTAAATCTCTCCGATAAATTATATTGTGGTAATACTGTGGTAAAGTCAGCCATAAGCCTTAGAAGCCAGGCACACACCTTTAGTCCCGGCAGCCAGAAGCTAGGAGGTGGTGGTACACACCTTTAATCCTAGGACTCAGGATTAAGAGATAAACCAATCTCTCTGAGTTCAAGGCCACCCAGGGATACACGAGATTAAATCAGTCTAAAAGAGTAACAGATCACATACCTGTAACCCCAGCAATAGAGACATATAAAAGATAGAAGCAGGGTCTTCAGGAGTCAGGAGGAGGCATTCAGTCTCCAGCCATGCTGAGGAAATCTCATGGGTCAGCCCTTTCAGCCTGAGGTAGAGGTAAGAATTAGTGGCCAGCTGCTTTGCTTTTCTGACCTTCATCTTGAAGTCTGAACCCTAATATCAGTCTCTGGGTCTTTTATTTTTCATGTTACATTATACTGTGCTTGTTTGTTTGTTGAGATAGGGTCCTGTGTAGCCCAGGCTGTCCTCAAAATTGATGTATATCAGAGAATAACCTTGAATTTCTGATCTTCATGCCACCAAGTCCCAAGTGCTGGAGTGACAGGGGTGGGCCACATGCCAGGTCAAATTCTCCCACTGTGGACCTCTCCCAGCTGAGCAGTCCATTATTTGGGTGGCCGAGTGCACAGTGACACTTCTTACAGCTCAAGTCTATGGCTTCCACAGGGCTCATTCTGTGTAGTGGATTCTATAGGTGTGAAAATGCAGCGACATGTGTCTCACTGCAGCCTCACAAGCATGCCCCCACCTTTCTTGCCACTCTCAATCCCTGGCAACCCCCCATCGCTGTACCGCCTCCACAGTTTTACCTTTTCCATGTAATGGAGCTGGGATCACAATGTACTGTCTTTTGGGGCAGGTTTCTGAACTCAGTTCCTTTGAATCTTCTCATAGCTTGGGTGTAACGAGAGGTTCTTTGTCCAGGCTGGTCCCGCCAACCTTCTCAGCCCCAAATAAAACACAGAGACTTATATTAATTATAAAGTTGTTTGCCGGTGAGTAGGGCTTCTTATTGGATAGCTCTATCTTAATTATTAACCCATATCTATGAATCTAAGTATTTCCAAGTGGTCTTATCTTACTGGAGAAGGTTCTGGACCTCTAACTCCTTTGGCGGCTCACATGTTTTGGCTCACTGTTTTGGCAGGCCCTCTCTGCCGACCATTCCCAGAATTCTCCTTGTCTCCTAGTTCTGCCTATCTTCCTGCCTCATTGGCCAAACAGTGTTTTATTCATCAACCAATAAGAGCACTGTATACACAGAAGGCCAACCACTTCACTCGGGCATTC